GTTTGTTATACTTAAAACAAACAAAACAAAACAAAACAAACAAAATCGTGAACCTGAGTAGTTATCCCAAGATCTCATACCCATACTCTATTTGACCATTATTATCCTTGGTCACCCTGCTTAAGCCCTTAGTTTTCCTGCAATAATCTACTTTTTCACTCTTAAAACACATTAGCTCATGTCATCGCTCTGCTCAGAAACCTACAGTGGTTTACTGTGTCTCTCTGAATAAAAGCCAGCATCCTTACAATGGTCTAGCAGATCTGGGCCCTTAACACCCCTCAGACTCATGCCCCATGACCATCTTCTCTTCTACAATACACCAGTTGCTCTGGACGTCTGGACCACGGGCAGATTTCTACTTTGGAAACTGTCACTCTGCTACAGTGTTTTTTCCAGAATACCTACATAGCTCACTCCTCCTCTTCCTTCACTGTTTTGTTCCAAAGTCACTTCAGTGATGCATTTCTTGCTTTCTTTTTTTCCTTAGTATTTATCATTGTCTCATATGCCAGATTTTTCACATCCATACTGTATTGTTTCTATTCTGCCCCTAGAAATCTTACCCTAGGAGGGAGAGCAGGGTTTTGCCTGTTACGTGCATTGCTGTATTCTCAGCGCTGATAATGTTATTAGGCCCCATGCTCAACTATTAATTTATGAATGTTTTTGTTGTTAACTATTATGTGGGTTTTTTTCACAGTCGAAGACAGATACTGTTTTTGCACTGCGAGTGCCTAGGATAGAGATATCTAGTGGATAATTAAGGCAAAAACAAAGTAAGTAAGTAATGAGCAAATCATAGTTCTGAATTGAAATAAACAGATGGTTTGTTTCAAATACTTTGTAGGATTTTAAAAAAATTTAAAGATTTTTTATGTATTTGAGAGAGAGAGAAGAGGGAGAGAGAGAGAGAGCATAAGCAGTGGGGAAGGGCAGAGGGAGAAGCGGACTCCCCGAAGAGCAGGGGGCCCAACACTCGGACTCAGTCCCAGGATCCTCAGATCATGACCTGAGCCAAAGGCAGACCCTTAAGCAACTGAGTCACCCAGGTGCCCCCAAATACTTTGGAGGCTTTAAAGAACACAGACCTATGAGGAAGAAGAAGAAGAAGGTGGCAGTGGCAGCTTCAGAGGGGGAGGAAAGAAAGGAAAGAAAGAAGGAAGGAGGAGGAAGGAGGGAAGGAATGAAACCAGGGATGTGTGTGTGTGTATTCATTTGCATCAATCTAGAAATTTTTTCTGATCAGTTCTCAACCTGATTGTGCAGGTAATAGCAGATTCCAAGAATGACTCAAAGATTCATATTGATAATTACATGTACTTATATTTCCCACTAAGCAAGGTCATCCGACTGCAGACTCTCTAAAGAATATGTGCTGCCTCTGAGATCTGGAGAGCAAAAGGAATTGCTAACAAAAATTAAAAATATATATATATATATATATATGTGTGTGTGTGTGTGTGTGTGTGTGTGTGTGTGTGTATTTCTTAACTAGGAAAGTGTCTTGCTTTGAAAGCTATGAAAAATGAATGCTGGTAATTCTTAATATTTCCTGTTAAAGAAGAGAACAATGCTAACAAATATTACTACTTTAAAAATGAGAAAAAAATGTAAATTTAGGGATGCCTGGGTGGTCCCAGGGCATGATCCTGGAGTCCCAGGATCCAGTCCCACATCAGGCTCCCTGCAAGGAGCCTGCTTCTCCCTCTGCCTATGTCTCTGCCTCTCTCTGTGTGACTCTCATGAATAAATAAAGTCATTTTAAAAAAAGAAGTAAATTTAAGTTCTGCTTACATTTAAAGAACATGAAAGCAGTTGTTCTTAAGTGGTTTGAGATCACAATCTCCTCCCAGAGTCTCATGAAAACCACACATCTCTTTTTGGAGCCATATGACATTTGCCTGGTTCACAGATTACACTCCCACACCCCTCTTCTCCAGTTTAGGACTGGAGTTAAGGACTTCAGCAATTCACCTGTACTAGAATGGCTATAATCAAAAAAGACAGAAAATAACAGGCATTGCTGAGGATGTGAAGGAACAAAACTCTCTCCTACATTGCTGGTTGGAAATGTAAGAGGGTGTGGTCACTTTGGAGAATAGTTTGACAGATACTCCTTTAACAGAGTTACTGTATTTCCTATTTGCTCTTCCCCTCCCTTAATATGATAATTTTTTTTATCACAGTGTCCTCTGAAAACAAAAAGACCTTGAAGTAAATTATGTGTGCATTTGCACTTAGTCAACAGTACAAAATGATTGCTATAGAGCCATTTGAACTCAATCTCAAACAAAAAGAAAAATAAAACTATTTTACTCTATATTATCCCTGACATACAGTAAAATAAATCAATAAACATAAATCAGAAGGTATATCCTGACTTCTAACACCAAAACTGAAGTCAGTTCTTTAACAGTGGTATCCTAGGGATTTGGAGCATGAGCTTCTGAGTCAGGAAGTCCTGCTTTGAATTCAGGACCCCCTCCATTACTATCATTTGATCTTGTGAAGGTCATTTAATTCCACCTGGGCCTTATTTTCTCTACTGTAAGTTAAAAATAGCAATAATTATATTATAGGATTAGTGTGGATATTAAATAGGAATTTATGCAAACTGGGCCACATGGTGATGGTTACACAATTACTGCCTAATAACTGCATTTATTCTTAAAAATAAATTGTTGATGCTGAGAAAGCACTTGAGGCATTAGTGCCATGGGTGCTAGTGTGTGACTTTGGGTCGGACCTCTCTCTCCTGATCTAAGCTAATGCATTTTCATCTTTAAGGTACCTTCTATTAATACGGGACATCAGAGTAGTTAATTAATACACATATGTAACACAAGCCTTACTTGTCTTCACTGGTATAAAACTCAACACTCTCTTCTTAAATGAAGGTATCTATTTTGCCCAAGACATGGTAATGAATTTTTTTTTTTTTACTATGACTCATTTCTATCTTTTGATAGTAAACAGATTTTAGTGTAACCTAAATTAAAACTAAATGAAACAAATATTGGACCCAATTGTTTGATTTTTGTTAAAATTGTGGATGTGCAAGCATAATGAGTATTGGGGGATTCACATTATTATTTTAAAAAAATCAAAGCAATCACCTTTCGATTGTTCCCCTACAGATCCATTATCAGTTATCATGGCTGACAGATGATAGTCCATATTTTATTGTGCTTTTTCAGTGGAATAAACAAATGTAGGAAGGAAGAAGAAGTAAAAGATGGAACCAGATATTCATAGACTAGACATCGTACCTCTAAATAATTAAAAGCTAAATGGATTTGGTGGTCAAAGTCAAACCAAAGTCAAACCTAGAAGAATCACTGCTTATACCCATGGAAAAGCCACATTTTAAAAGAATCTCATGATACCTAAGCAATTATATTTTTTCAAATTTAATTAATAAAGTACTCCCAGTATATTTTATACCTATTTCGTAGAATAGCTCAGAATGTTCTCCAAACATAGAAACAACACAGAACATCAGACAAGTCTTTAAAATTTGAATAGAGTAAATAAAGTTTAAAGTATTATTTACTCTAGAATTTCATAGAGTAATAATCTATATTAAAACGAATAGAAGTAATGCCATGTCTTAGTGAGCAGAGCATTTCTGCTTCACAAATATTCTGTTTGTATTTGGTCTTATCAGATGTTTAGTCAATAGCTGAAACATTTATTCACAGCCAGTCAATTATAACACCAGGAAATCAGCCATTGAATAAACTGTGCTATTAATTTTCCATCAGAGATTCATGTTTGAATGACCATGCATTTCATAGATTTAAATACCAAAAGGCTAATTATCTCCAAGGCCCCATTAAAGGGATAGCATAGATAGCAATCAAAAACAATCGTAATATTGCTCAAAAATTATCTTCAGCTTTCATTGCTGCAAAATACTTCAACTTCTCTACCTAGTGCACATATTAAGAGGATACGTTTTATCTATCTATCTATCTATCTATCTATCTATCTATCTATCATCTATTTCCCAAAACCTTAGGAGAATAAACAAAAAACAAAAACAACAGAACGTTTCTCATACACATTCATTTATTTACAAAGTAAAATGCATATTAAAGCTTATCTATCTAATATGTTTGATGTAAATTATTTTCCTCCCTCTTTTGTGAAGTCCCGGGCCCCTATCCCATTCTTAGCTCAGGATGATATATAAGCTTCATATGAGTCTTACATGTTTTGGGTGCTCCTATACATTTGGAATCTTTTTTTTTTTTCTACTGTTAATCTGTCTTATGTCAATTTAATTATTAGACCAGCCAAAAAACCTAGCGGGGGAAAAGGAAAAATTTTCCACCTCTAAGCTGCTTTCCTGCCTTCCTCCCTTGTAAAAATAACTATAAAGATTGTTTCTGAGATTCTTTTCACACAGAACCCATAAACATAGGAATGGTTTCTACCCTGCTTAGGAACAAATTGCAACATGTTAACAGGAGAAAAATTACATTTATATCAGAACTAAACTGTTTATACTGAGTGGGAAAGTAAGACAGTCACAGCATGGGTTGAACATTCTGGTACAGAAGCATGAAAGTATTCTGAACTATTATTTGTCTTAGAGGACTTGGATTTAATGTCATTTCTGAATGATCTGCTACTCAAATATTAGCTGGCCCAATGTACTCATGAAATGTTTTCATACATACCTCTATGCAGAAATCAGAGATTTATGTAGGACACCCAACTCACCTTTTAATTATGATCAAAATGGTCACATGCCAAGTTACACCTCCTTGTTGGTCTCTGTCCATCTTGTATGACAGAGCATGGGCACTGCCAAATTTCTTTTCAGCACATACCCTTGCAACGAAAGTCTCTCTATTCCCACACTTCATGCCCTCCCTGAAATCCCTTTAGCTCAACAGGGTACATTATCATTTATCTATCAGATGCCCATAAATGCTACCACCAACAGACAATTCAACAACTTAACACATTTATAAAAACGCAGAAAGTACCTGGACATAGGCTCTGCAAGAGCGCTCTCTTTTCTGAAGCTGAATCCATTAAGACAGCAGATTAAACACAGAATAGAAAAAACAAGTTAGTGACAGAAGAAAACAAGAAAAATAAAAGAACACATCTACACAAAACACCTTATTTTGTTGTGTACTACTTTCTAGAAGAGAATGAAAGCTAAGCAGCAGCAAAATGTAGAGCAATGGCTTGAAAACTAGTCGCCAGCACCTTTTCAGAATAACCCAAGCAAAAACTGGATGGTAGAAAGTTGTTAATGATGGCAGGAAATCCTGGAATAAATTTAGTAGAAATTAGTAAAAATCATTATACTTCAGTCATTTGAAATGATTCATTTTACATCAGGTTAGTTGTTCATTCATGAGCCACAAATGAAGACATATGAAGTTAAGTAAATTATGTCAAAAATTTAGAAGCTGCATTGTTTGTGGTTTAAAGATTAGGTAGATGGTTAAAATGCACCACAAACCATATGTTCAAACACAAGAAATTCTGTTTATCAGAAATATAGATGTGCCCATTCATTACGATTATTTGGTTCCAAGGGGAAAATACCAACAGATAAGTAACTTCTAATTGGAAGAATGTGATTCATCTTCTGATTTACCACTGCTTTTATGTCTTGAATAATTCCTTTCCACAGTTTTCACCAAAAACAAACAAAACAAAACAAAACAAAACAAAACAAAAAAACCTTATACATTTGAGAAACTTCTGTGGCATAAGAAGCCTGTTTTTGTTTATTTGCTTGCAAACAGAGTGATGTTTTTCTGGGCAAAAGGTTAATAACAACTCATATTCAATCCCAAACATTTTTTTTTTCTGCTGATGAAATAAATAAGTAATAAGCTTAATTGCCCTCTTTAAATAAGTGACACAAAATTTCATGAATTAAATTGTGATGTTCTTCCTTTTCTCTATTTTTTTTTTTTTTTTTTTTTTTTTTTTGCCTTCAGTAGCCTTGTTTGTGGAAGGAGAAAATTACCCAGGTTTAAGAAGCAGTTACTGTGATGCCTTTTGTGTGGCTAATACTCTCCCAACTTTAATTCATGCAGTCTTCAATGAGCATAGAGCAGTTACTCCTCTAAAGAATTAAAGTGAGGAATGAGTGCAAGTAAATTGCCAGCGCTGTCATTTGGATCACTGACTCGCATCTTGGTTTCACAGGACTCTAAACCCTTCAGAATTTCAATGTGGAGTTCAATTGATTTGTACCAAGTTGACTTTGCAAATCTGATGGGTTATAAGTGCTTCAGGGAACAGTGGGAACAGGCAATGAGAGCAAGCCAGTGAGCACGTGGGTAACCTTTGCCCTCCCATCTCCTCACCCCATCATGCAAATTAACATATGACAAACCACATTCTATAAACAATTGAAAAGAGCCAAATGGGAAACAAAAGAAAGCATTAAAAAGCTTCACAAATGGAAATTTGCCCATTATGTAGTTATTTGATATTCAGAGTAGGCGAGCTGATTAGCTGTAGCCAGTTAGAATGTGACATTAATTGCCAGCTTTACCTGATACTGTCAGACATCAACACCGTTTTTTAAATAAAGATACAAAGTATTGCTATAACAAGTAATGTTATGGATATGTAACATTAATAGAAATTACTACTTCCAGTACATTAGGATAACAATAGCTGGCGGCAATATTCGTTAATAGCATCCAGTCAGCCTGGGTAATAACACATTAAAATCTCAGCATGTCCAGATTACATAGGCAGCTGTGGATTACATTTTATCAGGGACTTGGTTGTGATTCTATCAGGGGCATAAGTGACAAAAATAACTCCTTTATGCTCAGCATGGAAAAAACTTTAATAATAATTTATATCTGGTAGATAAAGCTGAATCTGTTTTCTGAGGATGAAATTGCAGGAAAAACTGTATTTGCCAGATAAAATGTCAGGCTTTCCTGTGTCAAACCATCGTTATTTGAAAAATTTCTTCCATCTTGATCAGTGAGACTCTCAGTGTAATGAGACACAAAAAAAACTTAACATACGACAAGACCATTCTCCTAAAAGTCTTTTTCATTCTAAAGAGGAATGTTCATTTGGTGACATCCGTAGAGGACTTTAGTCTGCTACTGCCGAATTCTTGAATTCTTGCTTTTTAAAGGAGTTGGACTGTCAGGACATTCAAGGCCTTAAAATCCAGTTTCAATAACTCATCACTTCTACACAAATACCTTTCATGGAACACATGTCTTTTGATGCTAGTCATTCTAGTATCTTTTCATCATGGAGTTAATTTGCCATGGGATGTTATAAGGAATAAGTTATATATTCCTTATAAATATGTAAAATATGTTTTACATATTAATGTAAATAAAATGCTTAAAGTGCTTACATAATATATAGGTTATATACAATAACATAAGATGTTTATATAATATACAAATATATATTGTATACTTATTAATATTATATAAAATGTCTCTTCTCTGAAATTTAAAAAAGGAATTATTTTCATTATTTACAATTCAAATTTGCTGAAATACAATTAAACCTTCTAAAGTGTTAACACAGTGAAGTAAAATCTGAGTAATTTAAATATCAAAAGGAAATACAAATTAAAACCTAACTACTTGTCCCATGAGTTTTAAGTGTAATATTAAGTAGGTTAAATTTTTTCCTTTTTGAAACATCTTTAATGAATTGCTAATATCCTATCTCATTGCTATTTTCTAAACTTCTACTTATTGATTAGACATTTATTTTATTATAATTATTTTGATGTAAAAGTTCAAAAGGAAAAAAAGAAACAAAATAAATTGCATTTGCTCCTATCGGCCTTGCCAGAATTTAGCATTCAAAATAGTAAACAGCAAATAAAATATAATTGTAAATTCAAAATGTATAAGGAGAGATGATCATTTATTGCGTCTGTAGATTAGAGGCCAAACTGGGTCACCATTGCAATAAAATACTGAAGCAGATTGAATGTAACTAGTGATGCTTTTTAGAATGATATGATTTTATAGAAGGAGAAAAATTAACCAGAGCAGTCTCACACCTTTACTTATATATATAAAACCAAAGTCCTTACCTTGTTCAAACTTCGTGCAGCACTATCTTTTCCACCTGGGGTCAAGTTCCGAAGTTGTACATCTAGGAGGCCTACCAGCTGGTCCATGGCACGGACTGAGTAGGTGATATCTCCAGCATTCAAATGGTTTCTTGTTTGTTCGGCCAATTCCCTAGCAATGTTGGCAGCTGTCTCTCCAGATTTCAACTGCGATTTTGAAAAATGAATAAAGAGAAAGAGATCTTTAAAAAGTGTCTCTGTGAACAATTGTTTTTGCATATGAATTATAATCATTAAGCCAAGAAGTAATTATTAAACTCCATCTTTACCTGGGATACATTCCCTGCATTTCCCTGTTAATCATTTTTTTTCTTCTGTAATATCTAACTTGAAGTTTCTATCTTTTGGGAGCTCCCCGATGAAGAATCTTACTTCGGAAAATTGTTCTCACCTTAATCGTCCATTTGAGTAGTCAACTCTAAAGTTTGCCCTGTGATTTTTCTCTGTGAGTTTTTAAATCCTGTATGGATGAATTTGTGTTGTGAATCCCCAACCATATTCTAAGTTCTCAGAGGCAAGCACAAATTTTCTATTGTGTCTAATTTAGTACTTAGTACACAATGGACACGGACAGGCTGCTAAGCTCTGTGAAAATTTTATCCCAAATACAATCCCTCCTTTTCAAAGGGTCTTCATTTTCTTATTAACTAAGTAAGAGATTTTGATCCCAATGCACTGGGTAGCAAATTATTGCTGTTTCTAGGATCTTCCTTTTTGGAAGCTACATGCTTATCTTTCAAGTATATTCTCTAAGAATACATCAAATTGTCAACATTCCAAAGATGTTAAAAGAGATAGAGACTAATACCCCATGCTCATGTGAATAAATTTGTCAGCTTTGGGTAAAAGAATATAGGGATATTTTACCATATAACAACTTAAATGTGTAATACTGTCATTGTCATGTTTAGGAAACTCCCCCCCCCTTTTTTTAGCACAGTCCAATATAAAATTCAGGATCTCACAGAGAAAATTCCTCTCTGTAAGGGTATCTTCCTCGCAGGTCTTCAGAGAGCTCTAAGGAACATGACTAAGATTCTTACTCACATAGGTTATCAATATCTTCTAAGAGATGCTTAATAAATGTTAGTAGCAGAATTGAATGCTTAAAGATTTATATACATAAATTAGGGTGATTAGAACAGCAATATCATTAATAATCATATCCTCAAGTATGTAGAAAAATCCAAAGTAAAAGCCAAAAACAATGTAGTAACAAAATGTTGGCTAGGATTTGTGGAAATGTCTATCACCCTCAGAAATTACCACAGGGCATATATATTTGTATAGCATCCACGTAGAACAAATTAGCAGTGTCCATTAAATTTTGAAATGTGAAGATTAAATAACTGAGTTATTTCTCTTGCCACTTCCAACCATAAGAAATAAAATAATCCCAAAAATGTTAAAAGGAAACGTTCAAACATGTTCATTCTGGTTTGCTTATAAGAGAAAACAAATGGATTACGACCGTAGAAAACTGCTCATATATATAAATATCATGGAATATTGTACAATAGTTTAAAAGTACAAAGGAGATCAATGTTTTTTTTTTTTTTAATTTATTTATTAAAGAGAGAGAGAGAGAGAGAGGCAGAGACACAGGCAGAGGGAGAAGCAGGCTCCATGCACCGGGAGCCGACATGGGATTCGATCCCGGGTCTCCAGGATCGCGCCCTGGGGCAAAGGCAGGCGCCAAACCACTGTGCCACCCAGGGATCCTGAGATCAATGTTTTTAACATCAATTTTCAACATGTTCTGTTGAGTTAAAATAAATGCAAGTTATATATATATATATATATATATATATATATGTATATATATATATATGTATATAATATATGCTAATATCTATTAGCATGGTATTTGTGAAGTAAAAATACAAAACATTAGTAGCATATAAACATGCTATGTATGAAACATGCAATAGATACTTTTATGTTTATTTTATATATATTTAAGCACACAGAAGTCTGAAAGATGGGAATCAAAGGAAATATCTTTTTCTATACTATTTATGCTATAAGAAGAATATACTGAAGTATCTACTACATGAATACTTTTTAGAAATCTTTAAAATAGAAAACACCCGCACTAACTTCAATAAATTTGTAAAATATGGTCAAGGCCTACATAGCTAAGATGCCTATAAAACCAAATGGAATACATTATAAGGTTCAATGCTTTTATGTTCAAGTACAAAACAAATTCAAGGTACATTAAAGTAGCATTCATGGTCCACTGATGGGTCACGAAAGTACTTTTAAGTGGTCACAGACATAAATGTGATTATAATCCATAAATTATCATTTTACATACAATTTAAGGCTGCTTATGGGTAACCTAGTAATCAATGAATGATTTATAAATTTTGGTATTCATTAATTAAATTAGTGAGATGCTGGTATTTGCTAAGCATTCAAATTCAGTATTCCATTCAATAAGTCTAAACACATGATAGAAGTGCTTGGTAACTTTGAAAAACTCTTACTGTGCGTACGAATATCCAGTAGCTAGAATTCCTAAAATTTTCCAAGAGGATGTTCTTTCAATCAATGCATGATTTTAGTGTGCTGTCATTTGTTATAGTTTCCATCTATGATATTCTCATAATAATATATGTGTAGAATTTCATGTTTTACTTTGTTAATCATTGTGTTATATAATTGTTCTATAACCTTTGTTGTTGTTGCTGTTATATTGTTTTCTTCTATTTCTTTATTTCCACATATTATTTTCTCTGTGAGAAATGTCAGGGCAGATGAGGACCTCTGAAGTCTTTTGATTTACTTGTTGAAAAACATTTGAGCTCTACTAAACTAAGTTATATATTTTCTCTATTGACACAGTATCTTTGAAACTAAGGATGCAAGTATTGACTTTGGTTACATCTATCAGGGAATATTATGAAAATCAAAATTGTTTATCAGACAGAGAAAAAATAAGAAATAACAGTGCTGGTATTTTCATACTGTTATTCCATTTCTTTTTTTTTCTTCTGTGTAGTTGTATAAACATAGTTTTCTAATTTGTTATTATAATATTAGGGTGGAACATATGATGAGGTGGAAAAGAAGGCCTATGTAGTTCCCTTATATTAAAATTTAAACTTTTTCTTTATGTACAGTAATCAAAAAGTTAAAAATGTAAATGACTTATAAGTCAAAATATAACTGTTCTCAACATAAAGGATAATGGTGCTTGCTATATATGTATCAATAGCAGATGATCTAGTGTGATAAGACTGAGTCAAATATGAAAATTACTGGTGGATTATCTTAAAATAGTAGTTATATTTTAACATTTAAGAAGCACTTATTTATGAAGAATAAATCTAATTATGTCCTCAAAAGAACTCTGAAACCCATATTCACCAAAAAGAAAGTTGGTAAGAAAAAACAAAACTCTGAAGTGCACTTAAGTTATAAAAAGGTTTATAATAAAAATGTGAGAAGTATGTTTTTAAAGTAAAATAAAAATTGATGTAACTATTATCCTGATCCTCTCTTCCTCTTAAAACTTAAGAAATCATAATAAGAATCTTTCATTCATTCAACAATCATTTGTATACTTGTTATTTCCTAAGGAAATAGAAAAGAACATTATATAGCTCTTGTACTCATGAAGCTTCCATTCTACCTTTGGGATTGGGGTGAGGGTAGGGGCATAAAGGCCGATAACAGTAACACAACAGTGCAATTTTAATAACAGAAATGTATCATGATGTATTATGGGAATATAGTAGAGGGGAATAAATAGCTGGAAAATAGGGTGGGAAGGGAACAGAAAGTAACAACCTGAATAACCATGGTTTGAGAAGATGAGATACTGCAGGTGCAACAGAAAGAAAAAAAAAACACACTTTTCTACCTTCAGAATTTAATATTGATACCTACCCAGTATAAATTGTGTATGTGTACATGGTAAAAATAGATATTGCATCTTACTTTAAAAAACAGGATGGGGGCACTTGGGTGGCTCAATGGGTTAAGCATCTGCTTCTCCCTCTGTGCCCTCCCCACCCCCCTCAGGCTTTCACTCTCTCTCTGCTCTAAATAAAATCTTTAAATTTTATTTACTTATTCATGAGAGACACACACAGAGAGAGGCAGAGACACAGGCAGAGGGAGAAGCAGACTCCTCTCTTGGAGCCCAATATGGGACTCAATCCTGGGACACCAGGGTCATGCCCTAAGCCAAAGGCAGGCGCTCAACCGTTGAAGCACCCAGGCATCCCCTAAATAAAATCATTAAATAAATAAATAACAGGATGAATGTCTCTGTTTCTAGAATTTCAACATTTATTCAGTGTATATGTTCATTTGTTCTTTAATTAACATGTGAATTTCTAACAGCATGGGACTACAATGCTGAATAAAATGGTAGCCAATAAAAAGGAGCTCACATACTAGCAATGGAAAAGGTTTTTAATCAATTAACTGAAGAATTATTTCATTTTAATTTTCTTGAGTGGAAAACGGAACCCAAGTGTAAGGGTATCTTAACCTAGTGTCTGAAGTTACGGAAGAGCTTAGGAAATGCTTTTCTGTGGAAGAATATTGAATCTGAGATGGGATGCGAAAGAAGGAATTGGGTTGGCATCTAAGCAGAGAGGACACTTTTAGGAGGGAGGCATGGGTCCTAGGGGAACTACAACAAGGGGGCTCTAACTGGGATTCAGGCCACTGGAGAGGTGAGCAAGGGGCAGATGAAGCGGTCTCCTTCGGAAGTCATGATAAAGATTTTAGGAAGTGCGCTCAGCCCAAGGGAAGGTGCTAAAGTGTCTAAAAAGGAGTGGTCTAATCAGAGATGTATTTGAAATCAACTCAGGAAAATGGATTAGAGGGTTCAGGGGTGGCTGAAAGGGAATTTGCTAAGAGGCTCTGGGAGCAGAAGACATTATAGATTAGAGTAGTGGCAGTGGAGGATGGTGAAAAGTGGCCTGATTTGGGAGAGGAATGTAAGTACACTGACAGGCCTACTATCTGATTGGCTGCAGGAGGGGAAGGAAAGAGAGGCACTCCATGGTGGTGCCATTAACTGGATTCTCCAACAGCCGCTGTGACCTCAACATTCATGGCTCAGATCAAAGTTTGCCTTTCCACAGCAGGCTCTCCCTAACCATATTCTTTCCAGTGGCATCCAG